ATAAGGGTGGGAGAACAACTGGCAAAGTACAGGGAGCGATGGAGATGTGTAGTGGAAATGGAGATGGAACAAGGCCCAGAATAAGCCAAAAAAAAAGTTTCAATCTAATTTTAACTTGAATTATAAAAAAAACGCTGTAAATAAATATTTTTTGATTTTTTAGGTATAGAATTAAATACATACGTTTAATCTAACTTTACATTTTCAATTCTTTTGCTATTCAAGCTATTCAAGTTGAACATTTTATTCATTCTTAACTTCTAACGAATTTTTAAATTTTAAATTGAATACACTTTTCTAATATTTGAACTTCAAATACTTGCGAAAAAAATCCTGAATATATGAAACGCAAATAACATTTTAATGATATTTATAAAAAGAAATTAAAAATTAAAAATATAATACTCAATGCAGATATACCAAAATGAATTCGGGTCTATAGTATAGTTTATTTTTACAGCAATTAGAGAAGTATTCAATAGAAATAATAATGAAAGTATGTACGAGTATAACTACTAATTAGTGTGTAATAAAAATAAAAATTGATTACATTATTAAGTACTTTAATAGTAAATATGTAGTGTCTGTATTATATTATATTCAATGACAAACAAAGCACGGTCGTACGTAAAACAAAAATATGATGTTAGTATGTTGTAACAATATTAAATTTGATGTTGATTTTGAAAACACGATAATTAAATTTAAAAAAACAATTTTGGTAAGTAGAATTAGGCCAAACGTATGTTTGCGACAGATTAAAGCAACGACCAAGAAAATTAAGTCCTGGGATCGGCTGAAGCCTTGATTGAACCACAATATGTCATATTCTTACATCAGAACAATGCGTTGTGTGAGCTTATGAAAAAACCTAAAAATAAAGTTTTTTCAGGGATGAACTGTATTAAGTCTATATTAAGTATATAAGTCTGAAGTGTCATGTGTTGGGCATAATATTTTAGTAATTTTTTTTTATTATTATTATTTTTGACTACATTTTTGTGTCTCGGAAAAAAATATTTGTATAATTTATCAAAACCTCAAAACTCGAAAATATTCGATTATTAATAACAATGTTCATTTTTTTCCTGATCATCTAGGTACAAGATATTTGTCTTATACTGGTGTATATTCTTTGATTTAGAGGGTTGACGTTGGTTAATACAAAAAAATAATATTTATTGATATATACAATATACAATTTCAAAGTGTACATTTTGGTAAATCTTTCTTAATCCAATTCCTCAGTTACATCACAGTGCAAAAACATATGTTATAACCTTTTTATATAAAAAAAAATTATACATAAAAAATAAAATAAAAAACAAAAAAAAAGAAATATAAAAAATATAAATTTTATTTTTACTTATTTATACTAAGTGGGCATACGACATGTTATACATAAATGTAGATATTTACTTAAAATGTTTCACCTGAAGAAAAATGTGTACAATCCATAGAATATTCTTAAAGTGCGACAGACTTTTTTGAAGTAGAATGTAGTTAAACAAACACAATTGGAAATCATTATAATTTTTAATTTTTACAGATAAGCCACAGCGATTGTCATTGGCGTTGTTTGGTACGTATATTATATTTTAGTGTGTATTTAAATCAAATATGATACTAAATACTTTAATAGTAACTAAGTTGTGTCTAAATATATTCAGTGACAAACATACCTCGGTTGATCATAAAATACAAATATAGTGTTAGTGTTCGAACCAGACATCGTCAGCTAATTGTTAAATAATTAGAGTAACCCAGTTATAAGCGCGCCTGCGCCGTCGCCTCTTTTCCCCTTTCGCGCCGTCTCATATGGGCCAGTTTTTTCTCATTGTTTCCCGTATTCAGTGCTAATGGAACTTCAATCCGCCAGTTGCGCCGCAACCTAACCTTTGGAAGGCTGCAATTAAAAGTACCGGGACACACTTGAAGAAAGTCGTGTTAGCACAAACATATACAGTCGAGGAGATGACAATACTGGTAATAAGAATTGAAAGTTTCTAAAATGGTCGACCCCTACAATAACCTCACAACAGTGACTCCAGAACACTTCCTAATCGGGCAACCACTCTTAGCCCCCAACGAAAATATCATAGATGTACCAATTAACCGGTTAAGACGTTGGCTGATTCGTCAAGCGCTACAGTCATTTTGCCATCGTTGAAGCCACGAATACACACAAACTCTGCTAGGACGCAAGAAGTGGTTCAAACCAGCGGAGAACCTGTCCGTAGGTGATTTAGTCATAGTTCATACAGCTAATCATCCACCGATGTCATGGCAACTGGGGCGCATTTCAGAAGTACATCCAGGTCCCGACGAAGTTATACGCGTCGTAATCATCCGCACAGCCGACGGCATTCTCAAGCAGCCAGTTGTTAAGGTTACCGTTTGGTAACTACCAGTGTAAGATGACCGCCGCTAGGAAAATTGATGGATTTGGACGTTCCATATCCTTATCCAATACCTACTATTTATACCTTTATTGTATAAGTTATAATTATTGTATTGTTTTTTTTTTATTTTTTGTGTTATTTATATATATCCACGAACATGGTTTGTCTGTTTGATATTCATGTATATTTGTTATATTATTAGAAGTTGTAACATCATAACCCATAAGTTTCGTTTGAAAGGCGTCATTTCGAGGTGGGAGGATGTTCGGACCAGAGCTCGACAGCTAATTGTTAAATAATTAAAGTAACCCGGTTGTTAGCGCACCTGCACCGTCGCCTCTGAGCCCTTTTTGCACCGTCTCTTATGAGCCAGTTTTTTCTTTCTTGAGTGTCGTCACGACCCCGACACCGTTTTGCCATTGGTGGCACGTCACGGGTGAGGAATTGGTCGTCTTAGTGAATTTTACAAATATGGTGCCTATGGACACTCTGTATGGCCTTACGTGTACATATAATATATTATATGGTCAATCGACTTCATATTGTGTTTTTCTTTGTGTGCACACGAGTGCAATAATATCAATAATATATTATCTATACCAGTGCGGGCGGTGTGTAGAACCGTGACACATTGTTTTTCATGGTGCGCCGGGGACTAATCGATTAACGATACCTCTTTTTGTTTTATTATTTACATTGCGGGCGGGTGCGAAGTGTCTGCGTCGGACCTTTTGCTTTCGATTTAGTATTAAGTATTATATTGTGGGCCAACCATCTACACGTGGGTTGCAGGATCCCGGCAGTTCAACAAAATTGGGCCCTTTTGGAGGTTTAGGTTCGGTAACGCCTTATCACATGTGTGAAACTCGATATTTTATATCATTTTTTTATCAATAATTATATTACTATAATCAATATTATTACTATTTATTGTATATTATCGCTGATTAGGCTCCGATTTAGTATTATTATAACAATACATTTGCTTTATATATTAGGTGGGCACCTACTACCCATATTATAATATTTGTATACATAATTCTTATTTTCACTTGTGTGATGTGTTATTATTTAACACAGTCCACTGATATCTTTTTGGTTATAACAATCTGGATTTTATTTTATTTATTATTATTAACTATTGGTTTGTCGCCTATTAATATTATTTAAAGAGAAATACAGTAAACACATTACAGATACTAGGTAGAATGAAGTTACAATTGTTGTTATTCATATTGGAGATTTGATACAAAATATTTATAGTTTTGTATCATTACCTAAGTGAAAATTATAACATAGATTTAAAATATCAAAGAAATGGTTCAGCTAAAACTTGTTATCAAAGATTATCTAATATTATCATTTTCGAACCCAGAGTGTCTCGTTATGGAACTATATATTTTAATATTTTTTTAAATTTATTTATATTTTTCCATGATCTTATTAGAATTAGGAAATTTAAAAATATTTTAAATTAAAATCAATTTTTATTTTATTTCAGAATATTTAGGTACGTAACTTAATATATTTAGTAGTTTTAGTATGATTTGAACGTTTCTTTTGTTTGATTTTGTCAAGAAGCATTTTACCTACACGATCTCATTCCGTATTATCAGTTGGGTGCCATTAACTATGCCAGGTTTGTCTCCCTCGGTCAGATCATGAAAATAACTGTTATGCTCACGTTTTTTTCTTATTTGAATGTTCGTAATATTATAATGTACAAGATGTTTTAGTTCGAACAACTCACCTTCAATGACACAGGAGTTAGTTTCGGTGTTTGTTGTTCACGTATCATTCACTGGTCCAAATGAGGTCTTAGGCTTAGCCCTGAACCAGGTCTGCCGTACCTATCAATATGTTTGTTTTATCAACATCATGGTGATTTGTTATTATAATTATTTTCACTATTTTCATTGTGAAGTAGTAAAAGATAATATTAAATTGCCCTCTTATAACAAGTTCATTCGGAATTATTTTACGGAAATAAAGTTTTATAGTATACTATAAAACCTACCTGTTATTTATGTGAATAATAAGAGAAATACCAGTCCTCAAAATTCGAGGCACAACCGTGATAAATTTAAGCGGATTATGAGACAAAACAACAGTTTTATTTTTTTGGTTTATTTTTGAACAAACTTTAATAAAATTGAAAAAAAGTATCGATAAGATTTCTCAGTACTGGCAAATTTGATGATATTTCAAAATTAATAGCTCACTAAAACTTTTATATTATTCCAGTTCGTCACGGTACGTAATCATTGTTATTTTGTAAAATATATTTTTATTATAATTACATAATTCTCATGAGGTTTTCCATTAAGGTTTTTTAGTTATTATAAAATCGCCATAAATATTTTATACTAAAAAGCCACCTGTTTTTGGAGAGACTAATGAAATACTTCTTGACGCTTCATAGAAAATTCCCGAACATATTCAAAAGTGCAGGTTTTATTTAAGGGGGCTGCACCGTAGCATATTTTAAGGAGTACTATTTAGGCAATTCATGTGACATATAAATTAATACTGTATCTATAATCGTGTTTTCGCGCTTAACCAAATGTAACCTGGTTACTATATTTTATAAACAAGTCGTTTTCGCGGTTTTGGTTATATTTTTGGTAATAACTTTTGGTTTTAGGTAACTGATAATTTGTAACCATCAAAATGAAATGGTTATATTGTTTGGTTATTGATAATAGACAAAATAATATGATGATATTAATTATTTACATTTTAAAATAATTTATTTTATTTGTTCCACACTTTCGCAACGTAATGGCATCCGAAACCGAAACCGGAACGTTTTTAAACTATATCCTGTCTGATGGTGAACAAATATTTTCGGAAGATAAGTCTCATATCCTTTGCAATGTGATAATTCAAGGTACATATAAAAAAGAATTTAACTATTTAAAATTACAAAACTATGGTTACATTATTTCAAATGTATATCAATTAGAAATATAATTTCGGTTAAAAATACATTGAACAAATTAAAATTTTGATTTGATCGGCTAGTGCCAGATCAAATCCACCTATAATGTAAATGCTGTTTAACTATTTGTTTGTTTGAACAAATTGAACATACCATGACAGATACAAACATATTTAATTTATATATTATGTTATCATAGACAAAGAATGTGAAATGTGGGTACCAGCATCATCTTTGGTGGACGGATTAGATGAAGATTTGAATTCTAATAATGAAAAACTGTCAGATAATGGTAAATTTATAAAATTTTAATTTAATTTTTTTAAACTGTTTTTTTTTAGTATGATAGGTCTATAAGAAAAAAATTAAAACCTAAGCATTCAATGTGCATTCTTTACATTTATAATTTTTGTGTTGTAGAGTTAAATATTTCTAATGATGAAATATGGTGTTCACGCAAGCCCAAACCCCAAGATGTTAAAGCTACTGAAGACCTTTTGAATATAATCAAGCTTGAAGGTATTCAAAAACAGTTACTAGATAAAAAGACTCCAAAGTATAAAGTATGGGAAAAAATAGCTCTAAAACTGCAAGAAGATCATGGGTATGTGGTAAGTAAATCTTTAAAAGACAGTGGAATGAAATGCCATCAAAAATGGAGGAATTTAGAAAAAGCATATATGGCCTTTATTCAAAATAGTAAGAAAACAGGAACAGGAAAGACCAAAACTCCAGCATACTTTGATTTACTTCATTCCATATTAGGTAGTAAACATAAAGTAAAACCAGCCATCTTACTAGATACTTTGGAAATAGATAACTCAGTTTTTAATGAAACTATTGTTGAAAAACCACTAAGCATTGAACAAATGCCAATAGAAAAGAAAAAAATATTATCTGATGATGAAGATATTAATAATGAAACAAGTTCACATTTCAAAAAAATTAAAACTTCTACAAAACCAAAAGATTTAAAAAAAGAACTTATTGATGAAATACGATTACAACATCAAGAAGATATGGCATTACAACAAAAATTAATTCAAATATTTGAAAAATCAGTAGAAGAACAAAAAGAGCAATGTCTTATTTTAAATAACGCTTTGCTAGCTATTGTAGAAACTATTAAAAAACAGTAATTTCTACAAATCACTTACCTTATCTTTATATAAGCCACTGCCGTGACTAAAATTATATTATTAAGTTT